GTAGAGATGGGGTTTCAGCATGTTGGCCAGGCTGGTCTCGAACTCCTGACCTCATGATCCGCCTGCCTCGGCCTCCCAAAGTGCTGGGATTATAGGTGTAAGCCACTGCACCCAGCCTCCTTTTTCTTTCTTTTTTTTTTTGTTTTGAGACAGAGTCTCACTTTGTTGCCCAGGCTGGAGTGCAGTGGTGCAATCTTGGCTCACTGCAACCTCTGCCTCCCGGGTTCAAGCGATTCTCCTGCCTCAGCCTCCATAGTAGCTGAGATTATGGGTGCTCACCACCAAACCTGGCTAGTTTTTGTATGTTTAGTACAGACCTCAAGTGATCTGCCCACCTTGGCCTCCCAAAGTGCTGGAATTACCGGCATGAGCCGCCGTGCCCGGCCATTTTTTTTTTTTTTTTTTGAGACGGGGGTTTTCTTCTTTTATCCAGGCTGGAGTGCAATGGCGCGATCTCGGCTCACCGCAACCTCCGCCTCCTGGGTTCAGGCAATTCTCCTGCCTCAGCCTCCTGAGTAGCTGGGATTACAGGCACGCGCCACCATGCCCAGCCAATTTTTTGTATTTTTAGTAGAGACGGGGTTTCACCATGTTGACCAGGATGGTCTCGATCTCTTGACCTCGTGATCCACCCGCCTCGGCCTCCCACAGTGCTGGGATTACAGGCTTAAGCCACCGCGCCCGGCCATTTTTAAAGCCTTTCTTACAGTCTCTCCTCCACCTCTTTCATCCAGCCTCATATTCAGCTGTGCCGCCACCCCCTACACAAACTTTCTCTTCTAATCCAGGCAGGCTCCTGTGCTCCTGGTCTCACAGACCCCAGCCTCTGTGTCCATGTCCCATTTTTCTATCTTTCCAATAGCCCAACGCGTCCTTCAAGCTCCCCTCTCTTCTCCAAGTTTCTGACCCTCTCAGCCCTCTTTCCAGACACTGAATTCCTTTGAGGCAACATCAGCGCCATTTCTGTGGATACATCATGGACCCCCTTTCACTGTTAACTAGTTCCCAGTAGTAAATCCTAACCCCGACATCCCTTCCTCCCGTAGTAAGACCGTATGACCTGGAGGATCTTGATGGTGCTTCTTCCACTTTAAATCATGGCAGGCCAGCCAGCATCCATGGAGGAACCTTCTATGTGCTGGAAACCTTTGTGAGCAGTGTTCTCCTAACAGCCCTGTGAGGTCAGTGGGTTCAGCCCTGTTTTAAAGATAGGGAAATTAAGGCTCAGAGCAATGTCTTGTCCGATGCCACAAAGCCAGTCTGCAGAGGAACTGGAGGCAAACTCAGCCTGTCTGACTCCCACAATGGCTCATCTTACCGTATCGTTTTGCCGACAAAGAAGCTTAAGTTATCCATTCATTTCCTCATGCAATCAACAGCTGTTTAATGACACGTGCTCGTGCTAGGGACAACATCGGGCCTTGGGGATACACTGGGTGTCGTGACGGTTCCCGCAGTTTACCAGGGACACAGAGGAGGTGCACTTCATAGCTGCTGACCCAAGTCCCCACTTCCTCTTCCCGCCCTCCAGGTCCTTCCTGTAGTGAAAGCTGCACCCCAACACGCAAAGCAGACCTTGGCTGGTGTGGTGGGGTGACCTCTCACCCCAGGTGCAGCTCTGGCCTCACAAAGGACCAGGCTCTCACTTGAAGCAGAAAAGTCAGGGCTGTGGTCAAGTCCCTCTCTCTTTCCTTGGAGTTCCTTGCTCCTCCCCAACCTCTTTCCCATTAGGGTTCCCCTAACTATTCCCGCTTCCTCTGAGTCTTCCTGTCTCAGGGGTGGATGCAGCACCTGGGGAAGATCTCCCCCCATACCCCTCAAACACACCCCCTATTGTCCACTGTCTTCGCCTCGGAATGTGCAGGGTCAGCCTTGGAATTCCCAAGCCCCAGTATTCCACAAGCTGAAGTTTTAAGGGGGCCGAAGTTCCAGGGGGCTCCAGCCCCCATCTATCCACATCTGGAGCTTGCCAACTGTGAGAATCTAGACAGGAAAGGGAAGCTTCAACCCTAGCAGAGGCGCTTGCACTCCAAGGGCAGACCTGGGAGAGAAGCTGACAAATATCAACTGTGTCCCCCTTTCAGACCACTTGGGACCCTTTTTAGTTAACAACTTATTGAAATCTAACTCACATACCAGACAATTCACCCATTTAAAGTGTACAACTCAATGGCTTTTAGGATATTCAGAGTTGTGCAACCATCACCCTAATTCTAGAACATTTTTATCGCCCGAAAAAGAAACTCCACACCCCTTGGCCATCATCCCCAATCTTCCCACCCCAAACCCAGCCCTAGGTAACCACTAATCTGCTTTCTGTCTTAGTAGATTTGTCTATTCTGGACATTCCGTAGAAATGGAATCATACAACATGTGGTCCTTGGTGACTAGCTTCTTTAACATCATGCTTTCAAGGTTCGTCCATGTTGTAGCACATATCAGAATTTCATTCCTTTTTATGGCTAAGTAATATTTCACTGTATGGATATACCCCATTTTGTTTATCCATTCATCAGTAGATAGAAAATTTGGTTCTTTTTTTTTTTTTTTTGAGATGAAGTTTCGCTCTTGTTGCCCAGGCTGGAGTGCAATGGCGCATTCTCAGCTCATGGCAACCTCCGCCTCCTGGGTTCAAGCGAATCTCCCGTCTCAGCCTCCCAAGTAGCTGCGATTACAGGCATGTGCCACCACACCCGGCTAATTTTTTGTATTTTTAGTAGAGACAGGGTTTCACCATGTTGGCCAGGATGGTCTCGATCTCTTGACCTCGAGATCCACCTGCCTCAGCCTCCCAAAGTGCTGGGATTACAGGTGTGAGCCACCGTACCCTGCCTTTTTTTTTTTTTTTTTTTTTTTTTGAGACAGGGTTTTGCTCTGTCACTCAGGCCGGAAGGCAGCAGTGTTATCATAGCTTCCTATAGCCTCAAACTTCGGGTCTCAAGCGATCCTCTCATCTCAGCCTCTGAGTGGCTACTAGCTGGGACGACAGATGCGTGCCACCATGCCTGGGTCGTCTTACAATTTGTAAAATTTTTTAAATTAAAAACATTTTAATGGCTGGGCATGGTGGCTCACGCCTGTAATCCCAGCACTTTGGGAGGCCAAGGTGGGCGGATCACCCGAGGTCAGGAGTTTAAGACCAGCCTGGCCAACATGGCGAAACCCCATCTCTATTAAAAATACAGAAATTAGCCGAGCGTGGTGGTCATGCACCTGTAATCCCAGCTACTCAGGAGGCTGAGGCAGGGTAGTAGCTTGAGCCCAGGAGGCGGAGGTTGCAGTGAGCTGAGATCACACCATTGCCTCCAGCCTGGGCAACAGAGCAAGATTCTGTCTAAAAAACGAAAATAAAAATAAAAATAAAAAAAATTTTAAGTAGAGACAAGGTCTCATTAGGTTTGCCCAGGCTGCTCAAACTCCTGAGCTCAAGCAATCCTCCCGCCTTGGCCTCCCAAACTGCTGAGATTAAAGGTGTGAGCCACCATGCCTGGCCTGTTTCCACATTTTAGCTATTATGAATAATGTTGCTATGAACATTCATCTACAAGCTTTTTTTGTTGTTGTTCAAGCAGTTCTCCGGCTTCAGCCTCCCAAGTAGCTGGGATTACAGGCACCGCCCCCCCACCATGCTTAGCTAATTTTTTTGTTTGTTTGTATTTTTAGTAGAGATGGGGTTTCACCATGTTGTCCAGGCTGGTCTTGAACTCCTGACCTCAGGTGATCCACCCGCCTTGACCTCCCAAAGTGCTGGGGTTACAGGCATGAACCAACGTGCCTGGCCTCATGTCCAAGTTTTTATATGAACATAACATTTGCATTTCTCTTGGATATGTATCTAGAAGTGGAATTGCTGAGTCATATGACAATTCTATTTTTAGCTTTTGAGTAATAGCCAGACTTTCCCAAAGTGGCTGTATCATTTTA